GTAAGAATCTTTGGTATTTAAAAATATTATAAAAGATTTTATTCAGGCCTAATAGTAACCCGGAAATAATTAATAATATATTAATAACCAAATTCTAACTATAATAAAAATAAAATATCTTCTTAAAAATAGTTCAGTATTTAAAATACTAGTTAGTATTATTATTTAGCCAGATATTCTTTTTAAACTTTTTAAGCTTTAATATTAGGTTTAAAATAATTATAATTATATAAATATAGTCTTCTATCTAGTAGATATAATAATAGTATTTTTAAAGTTTTTAATATATATTTTATAAGTTTTTAAAAATCTTTTTTTTTTAAAATATCCGCTTTCTTACCAGTCGGTTAATTAAGTAATCTAAATAATTAAAAAAATTATTATAATTATTATAAATCTTATAAATAGTAGGCCTACTGTTCTTAGATAGATATAATATAAAAAAAAAATATAAAAGCTTAAAAAAATACTCTATCTATTTCTATTTAATTATAGTAGAATAAAAATAATTAATATTATTATAATTATAATACTAAATAAAACTGTTAATTACTTAATAAAAATTAAATATTTAGTAAATTATAAGATAAATTAAGTTCTAGCAAGTTTTATAGTTAAAAAAAAAATAATAAACTGAGTCTAATTCAAGTTGTTAAGTAGAGTGGCTAACAGCCAGATCAGATCAGGTTAATTGGAATTTTTATATCTAACCGCCAGATTATAACTAGATTAAAAAAATTTTTATACCTGACCGCAGTATAGCTAAAAAAGAAATAGTTAACTATTTTAACTATTCTTAGTATTAAGATCTGTCTGCTATATTTATTTAGACTTTAGTACGGTTAAAATATATTTAGATTAAGTAGTTATTAATCTAATTATTTTAACTGTTGTTTAAAAATATATAGAAACAAGCTTTTAAAATCAGAAAAAAATAACTAAAAAAAATATTAGTATCTTCTTTATCTCTATCTTAAAGAATTAATTAGAGATTTCTGATAGTATTAATAAAATTTAGTTTTTTATAAAATTATGGTTCTTACAGTAAGAAATATATATAAAAATATATAATTATAGCTCGGTTTAAACTATATATCTTAATTATAATATAATATAATATTAGAAAAACTGTATATTTACTAATAATCAGACTATTAAAAATAAATATACTATTTTTATTTTACTATTCTTCTTCTTACTTCAGCTTAAATAGTTTATTATATTCTTATTTCTATTTAAAAGAGCTGAATTATCTGTATAATAAATTAAACTTAAAAAAAAATTTATATAATATTATTTATATAATCTTTCTCAGCAACTGTACTTTCTAATAATTATTTTATTAAATACTAGATACTATAAAAGTAGTCTATTATTTTTATCTTTTTAATCTAATTAATTTTTTTTATTTTTTTTACCCAGTTAATCTTTTTGATTTGTTTAATTTTTTTAATTCTAAGTATTTTAAAG